TGTTGAAATCAGTTCCACCACGACTCTCGGTTGGACTGGGACTGTCACTTCGACCTATACTACTGAACTAACCACCTTCACCGGCTCAGACGGTATCCCAACCACTGAGACCATCTACTATGTAGAGACCCCAGTTGTTGGAATCAATTCCACGACCATTACAGGCTGGACTGGATCTGTCACCTCAACCTACTCCACCGAGTTGACCACCTTCACTGGATCTGACGGTATTGCAACAACCGAAACCATCTACTATGTCGAGACCCCAGTTGTTGGAATCAATTCCACGACCATTACAGGCTGGACTGGATCTGTCACCTCAACCTACTCCACCGAGTTGACCACCTTCACTGGATCTGACGGTATTGCAACAACCGAAACCATCTACTATGTCGAGACCCCAGTTGTTGGAATCAATTCCACGACCATTACAGGCTGGACTGGATCTGTCACCTCAACCTACTCCACCGAGTTGACCACCTTCACTGGATCTGACGGTATTGCAACAACCGAGACCATCTACTATGTCGAGACTCCCGTTGTTGGAATCGAGTCCACCATCACTACCGGCTGGACTGGTTCTTCAACCATGACGTACTCAACCAAGTTTGAGGTTTTCACCCTCCAAGGTACGGAATACACCAGCAGCATTTACTATGTTCAGACACCTGAGAATGTGATCTTGTCCACATCTTACACTCCATGGACTGGTTCTGTCGCTTCGACCTTCTCAACCGATGTGTCTACCTTCACAGGCTCCGACGGTAATCCAACTACTGAGACCATCTACTACGTTGAGACACCTGAGAATGTGATCTTGTCCACATCTTACACTCCATGGACTGGTTCTGTCGCTTCGACCTTCTCAACCGATGTGTCTACCTTCACAGGCTCCGACGGTAATCCAACTACTGAGACCATCTACTACGTTGAGACACCTGAGAATGTGATCTTGTCCACATCTTACACTCCATGGATGGGCTCTTTCACGTCGACGTTTTCTACTGACCTCTTTACATTCACCGGATCCGACGGTGTTCCGACAACTGAATCAATTCTATACGTGGAGACTCCTAGGTCAGGGTATTACTCAAACACAACGTCTAGTACCAGTCAATCGAAGACTCAGACACTAACTAGCCAAGAAGATACAAGTGTGGCTCCTTCGAGTACTATATCAACTTCCACACCACTCTCATCCCAGAGTAGCGCTACTGCTACCCAGCAGTCTTCGAGCTTTGTGAGCTCTGCCAGCTCGCTTTCTTCCACACCACTCTCATCCCAGAGTAGCGCCGCTGCTACCCAGCAGTCTTCGAGCTCTGTGAGCTCTGCCAGCTCGCTTTCTTCCACACCACTCTCATCCCAGAGTAGCGCCGCTGCTAACCAGCAGTCTTCGAGCTCTGTGAGCTCATTCGGCTCTATCTCTTCCACACCTCTCTCACCTATCAGCACACTAGTTAAAACTTCCTCGAACTCTGGCCAACAAATATCGAGCATGACTTCTATTTCACCCAATACAGGTTCTGCCACGCATACAACGACGGCTGAATCAAATAGCGCCACCAAGTTTACTAGTGTGAGCAGTGGTGGGTCTGTGTTATCATCCAACCATGAGACGAAGCAAACATCCATTCAATCTTCACTCACAGGATCATCTAGTGGTACTCCATTGTCTAGTTCTCACAGTACTATTAGTACAGTTTCAGACCACTCAGCGACATCATCTACTGAAGCGGAAACCAGCCCGGGCAATGGTGGCAGTAGCATCAAGTCAAGTATCGATAACAATTCTGAAAATGCTAGTACTAGACCTTACGCAACAAGCCCCAGCAACGGAAGCGGCTTCATTAGCAGCCAATCTACCGCTCGTTCTGAACCCAGCAGTTCTATGAACATTTCACCTTCTTCATACTCTTCCACCAGCAACACAGCGAGAGCTGGTAACCCTTCAAGTACGGGTGAACTTTCTAGCGTTACAGATGCTAGAAGCTCCGAAAACTCTGGCACTTACCCATCGACAAAGGTCATGAGTACCTCACAGCCTATCGAAGCTGCAAGCAGCGTCGTGATGAGCACCTCAACAGCTAGAGGGTCTAGCAATGGCTCTGAAGTCAGGACAACCACAATATCTCCAACTTCTTCTTTGACTCAATCTTCCAATCTTTCCGGTAGCTCAGCCTCTGGTACACAGGCCTCAGTTTCTACTTATCAGGGCGCGGCCAACAGGCTAGGCTTTGGATTTCTACTGGCGTTGCCGTTGGCTTTGATTTGAAGACGGTGCCAGTAATAAATCCCAAGCGGAAACAGGCTCCAGTCAACATACCACTCAAAAGCATGAGAAAGGCGCAATAGCCGCATATAGTTACTGATACTGACCAAGATCTATACTTCGAATCCTGTCTGGAAATCCAAGAAGGCACCCTCAAGACAAATATTGCAAAAAATTGTACAATAGAGGTTTCTGTGAGCAGCTAGTTTGAATAAGCGATTATGTTTTGGTCAAGATGAAATCATCTCCTCCAGCGGATATTCTGATTAGTGTTCAAGCTCTCTATGACAGAGTGCTTCAATATCGCGCTATGGGAAAATTTGAGAAGCAAGTCTCGCATGCGGCCTGACATTGTCTTCACTGGGAAATCAGCATTGAAGACAAAGTCGAGAACTTTTAATTCTGATCGATGTATATGTATTTACCAATAAGCAGAGATTTATAATAATCTAAAGAGTAATAAATCTGATATTTTTTCAATGACATGTAAAAGACCGTCGTACAATAAGGCGGGCAAGTTGTCTGATATGTGAATTTTAATTTACGCATGACCCGTCATTGCAAACATATCTTAGGTTTCTTGTCCTTGATTATTCCTAATCACATTAAATGCTGTATGAGCATTGGTTCGCAGCCGCCATAGAGCAAATTTTTGAAAATTGTTCTGGGGCTTGATTAAATGACTACTGTTTTATCTATCAGATATGCGTTGCTTGAAATATTTTCCCTGAAAGGTCCATTGATTTAATGTTCTTACCAATGAAGGTCTCAAATTCGCACTGGTCGGATAAATAGTCAAATGGAAGTCCTTCCACCACGCAGAACACAAAATTCCCGTTTGCCTCACACACAGCTAGATGTAAAGAAATGGAGGCTTCTCTTCAATCTTTTAAGAGTCTTGAACTTACCCATGAAATAACTGCTGTACTTTTTTGTAAGGGTCTCTTTTCGAAGGTGCTTACTGCAATATGGCGAAAATACTTAAAATTACGCACAATCTTCGATCTCGATTTCAAGACACTTTGGTTTTATGATCGCCTTCAAAAAGATGGGCGCGAGCGCCGTTTTGAAAGACTTCTCAAGGTAATATTATTCAGAAGCGTGGATCGATTACCATCGAGCCTCTTTTAACGCAGAAATACAGACGCTTTTCGAATGCGATGCGTGCAATGCGACCGTCATTTCATATCTGATTTTGAAACTCTTCTCAATGCAGTTTTATGTGCCTTGGTTGAAGTCATAACCTCTAGAAAATTGATCGATTATTCGCTGCAACAATTCACCAGTCAGAGCTCATTTCAGGGTGTCAATCATTCTCTGTAAGATCAATGGTGACCAGGTCACTACTGAATTCTAAGAATACGATGATATCCCATAGTCACAGGCGAAACAAAATCGATTTTTTACGAGAGAACTATGATGCGGCGAAAGTTTTGGATCGAGATCCCTGAAGGAAAGGTTGAAGGTGACCTTTCACACAGAAAATGTTCAGATTTGGTATCCTAGATGCTGCACTTTAGGTTTTCTGATAGAAAATGACGTTTGGCGAAGAGAATGATCTACCACTACTTGACCGTCACATTTCTCCATTTTTGCATTATAAAACGCTTCCAGCACTCTTTGTTGGTGCCAGATCTTGACCATTTTTAAAATCCTATCAAAAAAATAATTTTGGCCGAAAGCTGTCAAACAATAAAAAAGGGTCTAAAAACATAACTCTCAAAAGCAGGATAATTCATATCTAATTTCGAGCATGACTTGTACACCAGAGCCTGTCATTTGAGAAACAAGCATTTGAAGATCGTTCAGCAAATAACATAGGAGAAAAAGCACAAATCGCTGCCTGTGTGCTTATTGGCTGTGGAGATCGACGCTATTGCTGATGCTCAAATGAATTTAAACCAAGATTCTGAGAACCTTGTCTCATGAGCGGCCGAAAATACAGCTTTTTTCTCACTTTTCATGGTTCTTGGTTCGCAGACAATGCATGATTGAAAACGGGTAGCAAAGAACGCCTAGTCGAATAGCTAAAAATGATTTTTCATAGAAGAACTGCATGAAGCATCGAAATTCGGCCTTGATTCTCTTCACGGAAGCTTTAACCTCCATCTCGAATTCGCTGGTCTTCAAGCAAAAAAAAAAAACACTTTCTACAATGCACAATTTAATACCAAGTTCGAGTTTTCAAAAATGAGGCGCTTCATGAGGGCCCCAAAAGCAGGTTTTATTTGAAAAATGGATTGCTCAAATACAATGAAATCTCTTGCTCCAGGGTACTCGCTTAAAGAAAACGCATGTTTTGAGCTCAACACCACGATGCGAGCGTTGAAAAATTAAACACAATACAGACCGGGCGTCACTCTGTTGCTTCACTTTGTCCAAGAACGAGTACTTCCCTGAGCTAACCCCGGGGAAGAACTCTAGCATCACCGATAAATGATCATGCAAGTTTTGAGAACTTTGATCATTCTTACCACATGTTGATATGATCTGGTCATCTTCAAAACCTCTTCACAAACTGCAATGAAGCGAGGAATGTTATCAAGCACCAATGCTCCCTCAAAAGTCCAACACAACCAAGAACACTACCTAATGTGTGACGTCAGATACCTCTTACCTAGTGGTTTTCAAAAAGTTTCTTCCGAAATTGATACAAGGGCGACTCCAGAAAATTCTAGCGGTCACTGCCCTGCGTTGTTGAGCAATCCTATTTTCTTCAAGAGGTACTCTGAGCCAAAGGTTATGCTGATCTGTGACAAAAACAAATAATGATCGACTTTTCGTGACACCACGGTCTTAGCCATTGGGCGTAGCTGTGCGCTATTGCTCTCAAGTAAGTGAGAGTGGTAAGGGTCTTAACAGTTTTGGTGTCAGTCGTGACCTCAAAGTTGCTCGAAACTGCCATTTTTTTTATAATTACGCTTAAATTCACGTACAAACTTTTGGAACGAAAAATTTGGTATTGGATTTAAAAGCACGGAAGGATGAGGGGACGGTTTTTGTCAAACGCAGCCTCTAATCACATTTGCTATAAGCGGGGTCATTAGCCCTTTGCCAAAAACTATTGTCTGTTTAACTTTTCAAAAGAGAGGAACTGCTTGGTGCCATAAACGACGCTTATATGCTGGACAAAGTGCTAAGATGCGTGATATAAATATTACAGTCATAGATGAGATAACTGTTGATAGTGAGTCAATGAATTATTTAGATGAATATTGTCACTTACAGTTCTATCACTCCGAGTCGTATTTACCCGAGTTCTACGTTGCGTGGCCAGATATTCCACCACCAGGCCACCATTCGGGGGCAGGTATCATAACCCGCTTTGGTCACGAAATTGGTCGGAGATATTTCTGAAGTTATTATAAGAATATTGACTCGTGTTTTATCTACGGTCAAAGTGGGTAATTATTTGTAAAACATTAAAAAGTATTTGCACTGAGAGGCGACCCAACATCATTGGTCAAAGTCTTGACTGTTGAACGTCATGTCATAAGAATACTAACGTTAGTGATTGTAAAACAGATGCAAAGGCCCTGTCTGATTTTTATAGTGTGGCCATGTAATTAGTGACCTGATGAACACTGCAAATTGTCTACGAGCAGTTCGAGCGTCTACCAAGTTAGCATTTTCAAAAAGTAAGTAACACCTGTATTCTCTTTACGTGGTCAGCATGTCTTCAGCCTTGAAAATTACCACAGTATTCTTACACCTCTACACACAAAAGTACGAAGTCATCAAAGAAAGTTGCGGTCTCGGCTAAAAAGATACGTGCTCAAGATTGCATGACCACTATATCTCTCAATAGAACGCTTCAGCCAAAAGTGCTCAGCGTACTCGTTGCATAAGAATTTATCAACAGCGTCAGCCAAAATTCAATCACTTTATAGCTAAGCGTCAAATGCCGTCTGATCACATGATATTTATGTCATGTGGTACTTGAAACCTTCGCACCCCGAGTTTGAGTGCATTTTAGACACTCCACGCTTGCTTTCCCAATATTTTCGGGGCAATTCGGACCAGCCTGTTTTCAAGGAAATTCTATCGAATGCCTATTTCACATGAGTGAAAGTTGCCAAGACTAGCTTGCTACCGAGAGATGTAGGTAACCGAAGTCATAGATACTCATACACATCGGTGCATATGCATGCAAAACTACCATATGCACAAGTAAGTCTATATATAGGGCAGAGAAGGATTGGCGTATCACCACAGATGATAGACGGGAAAAAAAATCCTACGCAGGAAAGACGCGAACGCTACATTCATACATCGGAGTGCAAGAACTATCACATCTATCGTAGTTGTAGGCCGTGAAATGCTGGAGTTTCTCCCTACGCATCTCTGCTGATCGAAAATCTTGATGACGATACCTGCTGTATCGTTGTTGATGAAGGTCATGTGACAGGCAAAAAATGGATAAAATTACACTCTTATACAGAGTCATCGAAGAGAGAAGGACTTGCACCTGGAAACCCGCGATGAGCAAGCAGTACGGTGGCGACACAGAACACAAATCTGTGCATATTTTTCAAGGTTTGAACATCTTCTAACATAAACCATGTTTACATAATCAAGTTTCTCAAAAGCTGCACCAACACATCCATGTTTGTTTACAAGCCAAGCAAGTTCCGTTTCTTGAACTAAGCTACCAAGTAGAGAAATGTCCGTCGTCACTGTCTGCATGATGCGCACTCCCCCCAAATATCAGCCAATAAGGAGACGTCAACTGGAAACAAGACCGGCATATCACCTAATTACAGTTCACTGCATGCTCTCCTGGGAGGTTAATCTGCACGGTTGGTCGCCGTGTTTCCTTTTCTGCCACACCTTGGACGATTTTCGGTAAATACAACGCACGAAGCGTAGAGTCCGATTAAGTTCCTTCTGTGGAACTCTGGCAGCAGAAAGTAGCCTGCAGGCAACAAGCATACCGGTCGCAGGTAAAGGACTTTTTGTTCCAATTTTCTTTTTCCCGGCTGAGACCACCGAGACCGCCCTGCGCGCGAGAATTTACGAAAAGGCACGACGATGATCTTAGAACACTTCACGTGACCTATGAAGTCACCGAAAATTATTGTTAAACTCACTATCTCGGAGCTTGATTAGATATTCAACTCTAAGTTGAGATCCGACCGTGATGGTAGTGGCTAGGGCAACATACGCCAAGACAAGCACTATTGGTGTCTGTGAACAGCTCAAGAAAGGAGTACGAGGTTACCGGTAGGTGAAATGGTCCAAGAAAGTTTGGTAGCACAAGTGTTGTTTCGGAACACTATCAAGTGAACGGAGAGATAGTGATCAATAGATTTGAAGCAGCGGATAACTTGGAGCGAGACGTATCAACAGATACAAACCTCAGCATGGGGTGGAAACATGCCCAAACACACCAACACGTTCCCCGATCAAACATTTGATGTAAACACCGACGGGCCTGTTCACATAGATTTGTGTCTCCGATTATCATGGCGTAATCATGCAGCGATTTTCTTGCAAGTGACGAAAAAGTGCCCTTGGCGCATAAACAGCATTAATCAAGTCTCCGCTGTGGTGGAATACCGAGGCAGTACTACCACACAGGCAAGCTATTGGCAAAGAACAGGTTAAAGGTAGGCAAATAAAAAAGGCCTTCGCATGATTTTCCCCGGCCAAGAACAGGTCGTAAACAGTAGATACCGACGCATGCTGCTCTGTGGAGTGTTCGATCTATTGGTTAAGACCCGGCCCAATAGAGCCATATTTGTCGTCTTTACGGAGCTAAAGTCATCGCGTCGCGGTGCCGACTGAGATATGTCAATTACGACGCGTTTTGGAGAGCCCCGGTTTCTGAGGTATAAGTACTCCATGGTGGGTACCATTACCGGAATTGAAAATTATGATTGCAATAATTTACCCTCAAAAATAACAGCATTCTCGCATCTGCTTGGACTACAACACAGGCCTAAGCTACGATGCGAATTTTTCAACATTTGCCCACGCAACTGACGTGGCTATTGGCAAGTGTTTCGCTGCTGTTGAACTTCGCCCAAGCAGCAAGCGCCAATGAAGTCTGCTTACCATCAGGTGGGAGTACACAAGGTTTCAGAGCTAGAGTCTATTCGTACAAGTTGAATGATAGAACCGCGGCTAATGACAAAAAATACTTGATGTACGAGTACCAAACCGAAGCGAATCAACTGTATGAATGGTATGGCGTGACTGAGCAAAACTTCAAGATGGGAAAAGCCGGAGGTCTTCAGTATGGGACTCTATACGGCCACACCATTACAATCACGAATTTTACTTTGGAATTGGTTGGTTACTACAAGGCCCCACAAACAGGAACTTACACATTCAGCCTGACCAGCACAGATGACGGTGCTATGCTTTTATTTGACAATGACGGTGCTTTCAAGTGTTGCCAGTCTGATCAAAACAGTCAAAACACAGATGATATCGCCCTTTACCAATTTTACTCTCAGAGTCAGGTCAGTGCCAGCTACAATTTGATTCAAGGACAATACTACCCAATTAGAATAACTTATGCTAATGCTCTACAAGTCGCGAGGCTCCAGTTATCTGCAACACTTCCTGACGGCACTACCAAGACTACTTTTGAAGAGGTGGAATATTTCGCAGACAGTTCAAGCCCATCTAGTGTGTGCAGCGCGGTCATTACGACGCAATACTACACAGGAACAACGATATCGACCTCTACAGGGCCAGGACCATCGACTACCATTACCGTGAACTATCCATACCCTTCAACTACCAGCACTTACACTAACTTAAACACCTCCACGTCGTACTTGACAAACTCAGCAGGGTCCACTACAGCAGCAGAGATTTTGGTTCCATCGCAGGCAACTCCAACGAAGACTTCTCCATGGACCGAAAGCTATACTTCTACGAGCTATATTGTGAATAAGGCCTCATCAACCACCGGAGCTGTTGTGTACGAGCCTATTTACACTGTCACCACCGCCTGGACTGGAGCCGGCACCCGAACCTCATATGCTACAAACAGTGCTAAACAAACTACTGAGGTTTTTGTGTTGACACCTCTTCCTTCAACCAGGTCGAGCACACTTCCTTGGACCGGGACGTACAATATCTACTCACGTCTCACAGACTCCCAAGGATACACCACTGAAGTCGATCTTCTAACTCCAGTGCCACGAACCACGGTTTCTTGGACGGGTTTGGTGACTAGTACTTCAGTGATTACCGACAGTAATGGTCAGCCCAGTATCGTAGAGGTCTTAACTCCTCTCAGATACAGCACCACCTATGCACCAGGAACTGGCTCGTCTACGAGCACTTACTCAACAGCCGTTACAGTGTATACTGGGTCTGATGGTGTTTCAACCACTGAGACCGTGTATTACGTGGAGACTCCAATCGGGGCAACCACTCAATACACTGCGGGCACTGGCAGCGTTACTTCTACGTACTCCGAGTGGTCTAACGTACTTTACGTGGATCTGGACGGTAGTCCCAACCACCGAAAGCGTGTATTACGTGGAGACTCCAATTGGGGCAACCACTCAATACACTGCGGGCACTGGCAACGTTACTTCTACGTACTCCAGTGGTCTAACGACTTTTACTGGATCTGACGGTATCCCAACCACCGAAAGCGTGTATTACGTGGAGACTCCAATCGGGGCAACCACTCAATACACTGCGGGCACTGGCAGCGTTACTTCTACGTACTCCAGTGGTCTAACGACTTTTACTGGATCTGACGGTATCCCAACCACCGAAAGCGTGTATTACGTCAAAACCCCATCGAGTGGCACCAACGTGTACACCCCATGGACGGGTACCTTCACTTCCACGTACTCTACCGGATTGAAAACGACTACTGGATCTGACGGTAAGCCAACCACGGAAACCACCTACTACGTTGAAACCCCATCTAGTGGCACCAACGTGTACACTCCATGGACTGGTACTTTCACTTCCACGTACTCTACCGGATTGAGCACCTTCACTGGATCTGACGGTAAGCCAACCACTGAGACCACTTACTACGTTGAGACTCCATCGAGCGGCTCTACTGTTTACACTCCATGGACGGGTACCTTCACTTCCACGTACTCTACCGGATTGAAGACGACTACTGGATCTGACGGTAAGCCAACCACGGAAACCACCTACTACGTTGAAACCCCATCGAGTGGCACCAACGTGTACACCCCATGGACGGGTACCTTTACTTCGACCTACTCTACCGGATTGAAACGACTACTGGATCTGACGGTAAGCCAACCACTGAGACCGCTTACTACGTTGAAACCCCATCGAGTGGCACCAACGTGTACACTCCATGGACGGGTACCTTCACTTCGACCTACTCTACCGGATTGAGCACCTTCACTGGATCTGACGGTAAGCCAACCACGGAAACCACCTACTACGTCGAAACCCCATCGAGCGGCTCTACTGTTTACACACCATGGACTGGTACTTTCACTTCTACTTACTCTACCGGATTGAGCACCTTCACTGGAGCCGACGGCAAGCCAACCACGGAAACCACCTACTACGTTGAAACCCCATCGAGTGGGACCAACGTGTACACCCCATGGACGGGTACCTTCACTTCCACGTACTCTACCGGATTGAAGACGACTACTGGATCTGACGGTAAGCCAACCACTGAGACCACCTACTACGTCGAAACCCCATCGAGCGGCTCTACTGTTTACACTCCATGGACGGGTACCTTCACTTCCACGTACTCTACCGGATTGAAGACGACTACTGGATCTGACGGTAAGCCAACCACTGAGACCACCTACTACGTTGAAACCCCATCGAGTGGCACCAACGTGTACACTCCATGGACGGGTACCTTCACTTCGACCTACTCTACCGGATTGAGCACCTTCACTGGATCTGACGGTAAGCCAACCACGGAAACCACCTACTACGTCGAAACCCCATCGAGCGGCTCTACTGTTTACACACCATGGACTGGTACTTTCACTTCTACTTACTCTACCGGATTGAGCACCTTCACTGGAGCCGACGGCAAGCCAACCACGGAAACCACCTACTACGTTGAAACCCCATCGAGTGGGACCAACGTGTACACCCCATGGACGGGTACCTTTACTTCGACGTACTCTACCGGATTGAAGACGACTACTGGATCTGACGGTAAGCCAACCACTGAGACCACCTACTACGTCGAAACCCCATCGAGCGGCTCTACTGTTTACACTGCATGGACGGGTACCTTCACTTCCACGTACTCTACCGGATTGAGCACCTTCACTGGATCTGACGGTAAGCCAACCACTGAGACCACCTACTACGTCGAAACCCCATCTAGTGGCACCAACGTGTACACTCCATGGACTGGTACTTTCACTTCGACCTACTCTACCGGATTGAGCACCTTCACTGGATCTGACGGTAAGCCAACCACTGAGACCACCTACTACGTCGAAACCCCATCGAGTGGCACCAACGTGTACACTCCATGGACGGGTACTTTCACTTCGACGTACTCTACCGGATTGAGGACGTTCACTGGATCTGACGGTAAGCCAACCACTGAGACCACCTACTACGTCGAAACCCCATCGAGCGGCTCTACTGTTTACACACCATGGACGGGTACCTTCACTTCCACGTACTCTACCGGATTGAAGACGACTACTGGATCTGACGGTAAGCCAACCACGGAAACCACCTACTACGTTGAAACCCCATCGAGTGGCACCAACGTGTACACTCCATGGACGGGTACCTTCACTTCCACGTACTCTACCGGATTGAGCACCTTCACTGGATCTGACGGTAAGCCAACCACGGAAACCACCTACTACGTCGAAACCCCATCGAGCGGCTCTACTGTTTACACACCATGGACTGGTACTTTCACTTCTACTTACTCTACCGGATTGAGCACCTTCACTGGAGCCGACGGCAAGCCAACCACGGAAACCACCTACTACGTTGAAACCCCATCGAGTGGGACCAACGTGTACACCCCATGGACGGGTACCTTTACTTCGACCTACTCTACCGGATTGAAAACGACTACTGGATCTGACGGTAAGCCAACCACTGAAACCACCTATTACGTCGAAACCCCATCGAGTGGCTCTACTGTTTACACTGCATGGACGGGTACCTTCACTTCCACGTACTCTACCGGATTGAGGACGTTTACTGGATCTGACGGTAAGCCAACCACTGAGACCACTTACTACGTTGAGACTCCATCGAGTGGCACCAACGTGTACACTCCATGGACTGGTACTTTCACTTCGACCTACTCTACCGGATTGAGCACCTTCACTGGATCTGACGGTAAGCCAACCACTGAGACCACCTACTACGTCGAAACCCCATCGAGCGGCTCTACTGTTTACACACCATGGACTGGTACTTTCACTTCTACTTACTCTACCGGATTGAGCACCTTCACTGGAGCCGACGGCAAGCCAACCACGGAAACCACCTACTACGTTGAAACCCCATCGAGTGGCACCAACGTGTACACCCCATGGACGGGTACCTTCACTTCCACGTACTCTACCGGATTGAAGACGACTACTGGATCTGACGGTAAGCCAACCACGGAAACCACCTACTACGTTGAAACC